CATAGCAGTTTTAGAATGTGGGCAGCTCAATGAGGCCTAACAGTTCACTTTACTCTATCTTCTTTAGTAACTGTTAGGTGGATTTAATTCTATTTTCATTTAACAGTTCTGTAGCTTCTTTAAAATTGTACAATCATTGCCTCCCCAGAATAATTGCCACGTGTCATAAACCACAAAAAAGCACATTAAGACTTCCACTCAGTGCGTAGCACATGGGCTATATTTAGCCATGCTGAAGAATTGATTGCGTTGCGCAACATAACATTGCACTCCATTGCTGAAAAATAGCAAGAACTGATGCTGTCATTTGACTCTGGACAAAGCTATGACCGAATGATTTCTTTGGTGGCCCTTCTGTTTTGCATTTTTAAAGGAACCTGTAACCAAATTGTTAAATGAATTTGAAGTGAAACTGTTCAATGGAGTGAATAGTGAATTTAGTCCAGCATTTCCAATTATTTAAATTTTAACCTTCCTAGTCTAAGACAGTCATTGGAATTGTTAATCTTTCCATATATCTTGTCCATACAGTTCATTACCTTTGAGTTTTCTGTAAGACCGTTTGTTGCATTTGGTGTTTCTAATAAACAAGAAATGAAAAATCGTTTGGAAGTATTATCAAACAGAAGATCTAGAACAAAGTGTTTTATAACACATTTCCCTTCCATTTAGGGTACATACAAGCATTACATTTAACCAAGATTAAGTAGATCTAAATGGTCAAGAGTGCAGGTGTTCAAAGGGCCTCAGGTGTAAACTAACTTTTGATTGAGCTGCATCAACCTGATCTAAAATGGGTTAACACAGTCTAGTGAATGTCTGCATGTATTGACAGCACAGCCCAGCCACTCACCACAGATCCACAGCTGCACTGTTCCTAACCCCAATCCTGACCCCCAACTTCTCCTCCCAGACATGGCAGCTCCCCTTTCCCCACTGCCAGCCCATTCCCCCACCCTGAGTTACTTACCTTGGGCTGACCACACCACTCCTAGCAGCAGCAAATGCTGTACATGCCACTCCTGGTTTAGGTTTAAGCAGCTTAAAGTAATCTGCCTAAATCTAAACTGGGTCCCACAAATGTTTGGTCACTCCCCAAATTGTACAGAATACAGTCCTTCAGCAAGTTTCAGAAGCAATATTATTTATATACAACAAGAACATTTTCTAATGAGGGACATGTAACTAGAATCTAGTCCTGATTCCATATTATAAGTTTTTCTCACACCAAAGGTCTAGGTCTTAACTTCCACTCTGAATATTTTATTGCTTTTTTATTGTTTCACTAAATGACTATGTGCATTCTTCCTTTTCCTCTCCCTGAAGAGCAGTGTATTTTCCTTATGGTTCCCCTAATGTGGAATGTCTTGGCCATAGCAGGGAAAAAAGATTTTTTTCCCAGCAAGCAATGTCTTTGGCTGCTTTATCTACCAGTCTATATGCTTAACCCTAAGGCTACTCAAACCCTACTTAGTGGGCGTGTCTACACGAGCTCTAAAATGCACAGTAAAATGCTGTGCAGTAAGCTTTCCCCAGGACCGCTTTTACAGGTAGTAGAAAATTGTGCAACAGCCTAATCTACTGCACAGTAGCTACTGCACACAGTTACATGGTGATGTTTTACTGCATTGTAGATTAGTCTACTGAGCAGTAAAGTATCTTGTGTAGACATGCCCACTGAGGAGCAGAATCAAGTTCTTTCCTTAATCAGAAAGCAGGACTGTGTTGACAATATCTGTTATATTTCAGTTTTTCCAGGGCTCAAAATGGAGGTACAAAAGTGCTATGTCTGTGGCTACCCATTAATGGAATTCTATTAATTCATAACTAAAATTTTAGGGGACAACTTGTTGACACACATCCACTACTTTCATTGTAAAAAGTAGTAGAGTTGGAATGTTGTTGCAGCCTGATGATCCAGGAAATGTGTGAGAAGCAAGGTTTGTTTTTTTTTTCCTTTTATTGAACCAATTGAGTAATTGGGTGAGATGTTAGACAAGACCTGAAGCAGTTTGGACCCAAAAGCTGGCCTGACATTTCTTCCAAGTATACAATTGGTTTAATAAAAGAAATCACCTGAAAAACCCACTTTGCTTCTTGCATATTTCCTTGATCATTAGGGCTACAACAGCAATGCAGAAAATATGCAACAAGCAAAATGGACTTTTTTATCCTTTATTGGATTAAGACCTTGTGAGAGGCAGGTTAATAATAGTTTTCAGGTTCCAATTGGAGGATCCAATTAGTGGATCAGAATTTGCCAGTCATGGAGCACTGTCTTGCTCTACCTGGCTACATGGATGAAGAGTCACATTCACCAGATTTATATTTTACAAAACAAGTAGAAGAATGCCCTCTGTAGACTGTGGGCTTACACTTCTGACTTCTGAAATTATAACAGGGCAGTGGTGATCCATGGGGAGCGGTGTCTGCAGTGCTGACAGCAGTGGTGGCTATTTTTGCACTCCCACCACACAAGGGTAGTGCTCGGGGCTGCCTTCTCAATTATGGTACTGCTGGTAGTGATCATAAATCAGTTCAGTAGAGGCAATTCAATAAAATTCATAGTTGATATTACAATCATCATTACATCATTAACCTGTTTTGGGGTTGTTGGTTTTTTTTAAATAACAAGGCTGTTTGGCTTGTAAAATGCAGTTTTACTCTGCAATTTAAGAATATCAAGAAAACAGGTCAAACTAATTTTGTGTAACAGAATGCTTAAAAAAACAAACAAACCCCTGCCCTGATCTGAAATAGTGACAGTCCAACATTTAGTTTTTATCTCTCTCTACTTTCAAAAAGGCTTGTTGTTATTTTTTCTAAAATAACAGCACTGACTGGCTTTCTAGCATGCATACCAGCCTCTGGCCTCTTTACTGTTCATTCCATCCAGGAAGAGAGCACACCAACTGCAGAGGTTTCCTCAACCTGATGAAGGGTTTTTAAACCTGAAAGCTTGCTAAGAACATTTTTTTCCAACTATTTAGTTCGTCTAATAAGAGATGTCAGATTTACCCAAATAACCTTGTCTGCCTGTGACCTGGTCACACATTCAATCAAATAAGGGCATGGTAAAAAGAGGAATAAGCCAGAAAGTTATTCCATAAAAAAACATGGAATAACTTTGTGGCTGATTCCTACCACATGATTAATTGAATGTGTGGCCAAGGGTGCCCCTGTGGTTGACATGGCAAGAAGCATGTTTGCATGGATCCCACAGCAGATTCCATCACGCCTTTACCTGCATATCTAGAGTGGTCCTTGGAGACCAAATTCAGTAGCTTCAGTGAAGCTTCCTGGCTGTATATGGGGGCAAAATGAGCCCTGGAGTGTTCAAATACGTCTAAAGTTCTGGTCACTATCAGAATAGGCCTTTTTCAATGAATATGGAAGTGTTAAGATTGTGTTCAGAATACTGTATGATCTGTGACTGTATTTCACTGTCTATTTACTTTACCCTCTTAATTTCTGTAAATTTTAAATGGTTGAGGTTTTAAAAATAGTAAACATAACAGCTAAAATGGAAAGTCTTTTGTTTTTTCCTCTCCATTTACACTATGCTTCCATTTAAACTTCTCTACTTCTTTCTAACTTCTATCTCATTTAACTAATTTTTGAAGTGATTGGGAGTGCTTAATATGTATAATATGAAAACTGGGTTTTGAACCCCTCAAAATTACCAGTTGTTAGGACTTGCTATAACTCCAACTCACTGGAGTTGACTCAATTTCATAATTTTGAAAGCTTCAAGATGGCTCTAAAGATGTTTTATTGTTTCCAGAGATGATAAACTTAGCCAATAGAATAAATTTACAGCGTGAGAGAGAGGTAATAAACTTACATTGAGTAACCTTTATATTAGTAGTAGTATAAGTAGTTTAATTATAAAACTGTGAAATGCATTGAAAAAAAAAAAAAGTAAGTCATGTTCGCTATGTAAGGAGACCAAGAATGTGAATTTGGGCTATACTTTGCCACCTGCATATGATATTTGCCGTTGTTGTTTGCCATTACATGTTCATTTTTTCACGCACTGGGTGACTTAGGTTTTCTTTATTTTTTTATTCAGGGCTAATTCATCACTAATCTGAAGTATATGCTATATAAGGCATGTTCCTGATAGCAGCATGATCCCTTGCAAAACATCCATTAATTTCAAGGCCATGTTTGGCTCTAACAGCAACAAAAACTTTATGGTCAGTTGTGATGCCCCTGGTCAACAGTGTGTCAGTGCTTCTGTACTGTGTGTTAAGAAGAATGTGCACAATGGAGAGTGTCTGACACTGGGAAGCTGAAATTCTCTGAGGGACCATTGTAATTTAATTCTGATTGCTTAAACTTCCAAGGGTTCCTATACAAGTGCACGGAGCGTGCTCTAACGCACTGGAAATCTGATTAATTGATTAATTGAGTCTGCTGGAGCACAGAAATTGACGTGCCCCTTCAGGCTTCCATGTTATGTGTATCAGCATCACTGCGCATCTCTGTGCTAAAGAAATGGCAGTGGGGCCCTTTGAAATAAAACACGTTCAATGAGCTTTAGTTCGAAGTGCCCCACCGCCCTTTTTTTCAGTGAGGGGATGCACAGTGACACTGATACATGCGATGCGCGGGTGCATTTAATTAGCATAGCTCTCTAATTAAAGCACCCAGTGCTGCGCCCCACAACACATGTAATAATATCCTGTGTCTCTATACCAGTTCATACAGACAGTACTGCAATGTGCCATCTTACATCAATTGCGTAGCCACTAAAAATATATATTAATTCTTTAAAATGCATTTTGGGGTAGGTAAAATTTACATATGTCATTATAAGAGAAGGAAATAGAGACTTTCTAATGACCATTTTTTCATTATTCAAATATGTTGCGTATAAATAATAAAATTCAAGGAGTGAATAGTCACAATTCAGGCTAAATACCAAAAGTCCTTTAGTATCTTAAAAACAAAGGCAATTTACAGAGGGGCATGTTAGGTTGTCAAAAGTAAAGCTTTCAGCATTCTTGTATTCCCTTCTTAGCTATCTGGTTCTGAGTTGGGATGCTCCATTGGGGTATTTCTGGTGCTTTCAGTAGAAGAAAGATGCACATCCAACAGAAGTTAGTGAAAATATACTCAACAAGTTCTATGATTGTAATCATACTGGCACCACAAAATAATCCAAGTTGGCCACCAACTTCAGCTGTAACAAGGAAATAAACATATGTCAGCCAAGAATTTGGTTTAGTCTAGGAAGCCAGCCACCCATTGTTGGGTTCAAGTGTTAAATATGTGTAATGCACATAATCTGACATTCTAAGGGAAAACATTAAATCCGTTAAAAAAATCTTCACAAGAAAAGATTAATATAGTTCTTAAACAGAATGAAATAAGCAACCCAACATAGCCACTGTGTAGTATTTATCTAAAGTAAGAAGTGTTTAGCGAGGAGTAGTAATTCATTAGGTATTGTATGTGTATAAATCACTGCAGTATAGTCTGTCTAGAAAGTGAGTTCTGGGACCAAAAGTAACTGCTGCTGGTGGAATAATTAGGCAATTAGAAACTTGTCCAGACTGTGGCTGGAAAATGAACAGTTTTGTTCTGGTTTAATTAAAAATTAATCTGAGACCACTCACCAAGCAACTCGGATACAGTCAGGGCCTTCTGCTGCTGTGTCATTTTGTAGTTCAGATCTTGATAGTTAATGTCAATATGTACAAGATTCTGCCTAATGAAAAAATACATACAATATAAATCGGGTCTGCCACTCTTCTATCATTGGTTTTAGTTAGAAATTCATGCTGGAAAAATGGCTATAGGATGCTGATGGTCATGCTCAAAGAGAGATAGGGTAAAAGTGTGATTTACTAGTAGTGAAGTCTACTAAAGTGTAAATCCATAATGGTTCATTACAGGGTCAGATCTTAGTGTTAGTAAAAACAAGTTAGGATAGACAGGGTTACCTATATGTGTTTGTTTGCTAGTTAAGACTTCAGCAGTTGCATTACATTTTAGCAATTTCTTTGTTTAAAAAATGTGTGTGGAATGGCAGACTAGATATAATTTTAAAACAATCATATATACTGAAATATTTGTAGTGAGACCACATTATGGGACCTTATTTCCACACCCTTGGAAAAGTAGGAGGCTTAAAGTAGAAATACCAGTGATCCTTCACTATAGCAGCAAGAGGAGCTGAACATCACCATGTGGTGCATGGTTGAATCGTTATGCATCCTCAGTACCCCTCTGCATATTTAGAACCATTGTGAATTTCACTGGCCAGATGAGGCCTAATCCTGCAGATTTTTTTTTTTAATATATTTAACCTTATCTTCTGCCAGTAATCCCATTGGCTTCAATGGATTTATTCCCAGTGTGTAAAACTAAGCACATATTTGTGTAAGTCTTTGTAGACTGGGGACATGAAGCACTGCTTAGTGCAAATCTGACCCTCTGGTACTACTGTTAGACAGAGATTCCACACATATACTATATGGAGTTCTTGGAAAGCTATGCAGAATATAAAAGCTCTTTCCATAAATTTTGGGGATGAGAACACAGAAAAGAATAGAAAAGAATTCCACTTTTCATTCAACAAAAGAATGTGTTAAAACCCAAATATGGTCACGATTATAATTTTTGTGGAAAGCCCAAACTACAGGCTCTTGGTATAATAGCACAATGCAACTCATGCACTCATTTATGAAAATAAAGTATTTTCTGTCTCCAACTTTTTATATTTCAGTTTTGTTAGTGATCGTTTTAATCTGCATATTACATCTCGTAAGTGGACGTAACCATTAGAGATATTTGGTAAATGGATGTAACCATTCATTAGACATATGATGGATCCTATTAATATTATCAAGGTGCTTCTGTTGTATTTTGCTAGAATAAAGAAGTAAATAGCTAACTTTACCCTTTTTACATCTTCAGAAATCAATATATCCCCAGATTTGGTAATTTATTATATGTACTCATTAATATATTTGCTTGATTCCTATTGGCTAAAGACTTGGTAACAGAAGAATTTTATGTATTTTTGCCTGCTTAATTGAGTAATTACTGAGCTGTGTGATGTTTACAAATAATAAAACAATTGACAAAGTGAAATAAATAATAATGTTGTCCTAGAATTCTCAGGGGCACCAAATTATTAAAATGTTTAAAAAAACAAAACAAAACTGGATTTGCATAATGCTTGTGTGGTCTGTGTCTACTTAAAAACACATTTAAGCATTTATAGAGCTATAGTTTGAAGAGGAAAATAGTTCAACATTTTCAAAAACTTCAGTGATTCACATATTTTGAAGTCCAATTGTTGAAACCAGTTTTTATGAGCATATTTTAATTTTGTGCACATAACTACACTTACATGATTTCTTGTTGTGTTTACAGATGTAAACACAGATGTATAGGCTGGTTTAAAGACCTTTTTGCTAGACTGACCTGACGTTTTCCAGGTGTTACTTTCTGCAAATCATTGTCATCTTTTGGATTTGTGCAAGGTAACTCTTTCAAAATGTTTCTAATCTCTTCCCCTTAAGAAAATAAATGCATCCTTTGCAGAGTAGATTTGTACAATTAATTATCTTCAGCCGCAACAGGACTAAGATTTCAGTATTGTAACTGGAAATTTTCTCTTAATGGTTCGGGACTGGTTTCACATCCATTGCACTTCTCTTTATGGCTATATGGAAAAAGGCTTTCAAATTACATAGTAGTATGAGGGTGGAAGGAGGACAATGTGCTTCCTAGTAGTACCCATATAGCAAAAGATGTAAATTAATAAAATATTGTTTCTCTACCAGTTCCTTTTGTAAAAATATCCCACACTTATTGCAGATTGTGTTCTTATATGCAAAGTAAAATCTTATCTTACTGAAATGTATTCATATTAAAGTTAGACACAGTAAATTAAATAATAAAGATGACACCCGTAAATCATCCAAGGTTTTCTGATAACATACAATAAATATAAATAAGATTACCTGATGTAATCTGGACTTTTCTTCAGTTTGGTAGAAAGGAATTTTAAGGCTTTTTCACTTGCAAAACTTGAGTAGGTGACTGTGGAAGGATAATCTGTTTCTTCACAAGGGACAGGGCAAGTGGAATTGTGGGTGCCTACTGTACACAATCCCAGTATATCTATGTTATCTGAAATTTTAAGCAAATGAATCAGTATGAGAACCATATCATTTATCATCTCTCTCTTTCATTCAAAGGGAATTTCAGAAATGATGATAATAATGATCTTGCATGTGACTCTTCACCTGAGGGTCTCAGTTTATCTTACAAAGAGGAATTAATGTCACTCTTATTTCATAGAAATAGAAATGAGCCACCCAAAGCTGAAGGGCCAGCTTTTTCAACTTCTCAAAACAAAGCAGAATATTAGCAGTGGGACTGTTAATGAAACTCATGCCTTTTGATTCTGGGAGTTATCCTACCGCTTTTCTGGATTTGCATCAGTGTTCTAGGTTTGACAGTTCTGTGTATGTGTCATATTTTTGTCCATGGATGAAATCTATTCTTGACTCTTGGATGCTTTCTTGCTTGTTCCACTAGTATTACAAGTCACAGATATTTGCATCTATTTGATCATTGTGGCACTCAGTAAAATCCCATTGATAGGGTAGTAAATGTTATAACAAATAAGTTTATAGAAACGCAATCATAATTCATGTAGACAGGATTTTTAAAAGTTTGCCTTTGTTCAACAGTCTACTGTGTTCCCCTTAAATATTTTATTAGGAAGGACTCGTATTAACTATGAGGGTAGTTAAACACTGGAACAGATCACTTATACAGGTTGTAGGATTTTGCTCCATAGGTGCACCTACACAAAATGTTTACTATGGAACTGCCTAATTAGCTCCACAGTAAAATTTCTGCATCTACAGATGCGGCCCTATTAGGTCTCAGGAAACTAATAAATACTGCTGTAGGTTAATACTTGTAAATACAAGTACTATCTTTTGTGCCCAGCAATGCACATGTAGATATTGATGAGGCTCGCTGGGGCACTAGGGTACTTCAGTGAAGGGCTGCCTGCTGACTAGCCCTGCACTAGAGCACACTCCTGCCCCAGTCCGTCCCTTCACAAGACATTGAGCCAGGTTTGAGCAGCCCCAGGCTGGCAGGCTGACCCCTTGGACCTGATGCCAACTGGGACTGCTCTGACTCAGCAAAATGTGCTGTGCTTCTGAATGCACATGTAAACACAGTACCTGGGAGCAATAAACTCCAGTGCAATATGCATCGGAGTTTATTGTTTCGCATTAATAGCATGTGTAGATGTGCACCTGGAAGTTTTTATGAGTGGTTAAGACAAAAACTTGGATGAGACCGTTTAGATGGGGATGATCCTGCTTTAAGTAGGGAGTTGGACGAAGTGACTTCTTGACGTCACTTCCAGCCTTATATTTGTATGATTCACATAAAATGCACAGAGGAACTCATTCCTTTCCCTTTCAAGATTAGTGTCCTAAATGCATCTTTGGGACACACAGGGTGTGTCTACACGTGCCCATTTGCTGTGTAGTAACCAAAATGACTATGCAGAACAGGTGCACATCTACACGTGCATGTCTGTACTGCACAGAAAATATAGCGACTTATGCTGACTTTAGTGTAAATTTGATACCTGCATCATGCAGGTATCAAACTTGCACCTGATTAGTTACTGCCCAGTAACGCACATGTAGACACCTTACTGCACAGTAACACTGTGTGGACTGACTTGGGACTAACATTAATGAGCTTTAATGCCTGCATGTGTAGACACCAGCCTATTTCTGCTTACTGCACAGTAAATTTAAGCTGGTGTAAATTGCATACATAGGCATACTTACTGTCTCCTCTTCCTCTCTCACATTTCCCTAAAATTTGAACTTGTGTGACACACTTCTAACTATGGCAATTTATGCAGACTTGGGCGTAAATTTGCTACCTGAATCATGCAGATAGCAAATTTACACTGAGTAGTTACTGCGCAGTAAGGCATGTGTAAACTCCTTACTGCGCAGTAACCTTGTTTGTGTGGAATGACTTGAGACTAACTTTAGTTTCAAGTCAATCCATACACAGCGTTACTGCACTGTAATGCCTGCATGTGTAGACGCCAACATAAAAGTCACTTACTGCACAGTAAGCTACTGCTCTGTAAATGCATGTGTAGACACACCCAGTAGATATTTGTGGGGAAGTATTTCACACCCAGTAGATATTTGGGGGGAAGTTTGTCACATAAGTTCAAATTTTTTTCTACAAAAGTGGAAAAACTTTAATGGGGCTAGAGAGTTCTCTATCTTCCTTCTACCCCATATTTGATGGTTAGGGCACTCTACAGGGAGGTGGGAGCTGTGGGATTGAATCCTCTCAGGCAGAGAAGGAAATTGAGCATTGGTACCCTATGTCCTGAGTACTCTGGTCACTACCTTAACATATAAAGGAAACTGATATCATGCTTTCAGTATCCTATATTTTAAAATAAATATGTGAAGTCTGCTTTTTGTTTCTTAATTTATCTTTTCTTTTGAAACTGTGTAGGTGTTTACCTTCAGGAGAGGGTTCTAAAATGTGAATCCCGCATAGAGGGAGGTGCTTCTCTGAAAGGTACCCAGGCCTCCCAAAAGGGTGGGATTTAATGATGCCCTGTCCTCTCCCTGATAAGCCTGCTGATTGTTTTGGGTTCTGTTCAGAAGTACCAAACCCTCTGCATATATTGTATAAGAATTCCAGGTACCAATACCTACCTCAGGGTTCTGTATTCTGTCCTGGAATGTTAGCATCTAGAAGTTTGCCATGTTAGATGTCTGCTTAGCACTGAAATGCATTAGACATTTTTGGATCTAGTCACAAAGTATAACAGGGTTTAACTCCTCCTCCCCCAACAGACTTTCTTTGAAGGTAGTTGAAATACTTCCCCCCATATATCTACTGGGTGTCTACACATGCATTTACTGAGCAGTAGCTTACTGTGCAGTAAGTGACTTTTATGTTGGCGTCTACACATGCAGGCATTACAGTGCAGTAAAGCTGTGTATGGATAGACTTGAAATTAAAGTTAGTCTCAAGTCATTCCACACAAACAAGGTTACTGTGCAGTAAGGAGTTCACACATGCCTTACTGCGCAGTAACTACTCAGTGTAAATTTGCTATCTGCATGATTCAGGTAGCAAATTTACGCCCAAGTCTGCATAAATTGCCATAGTTAGAAGTTTGCCGCTTAAGTTACTGCACAGTAATGCTGCACGTGTAGATGCACCCACTGAATAATATACCTACCCTTGAGAGTTGAGTAATATCTCAACTCTCAAAGGTCAAGGATATGAACCTTATGGAACTAATCACTGCCTAAGACTCATGACAAAACTCATTCTATATTTCATTTGAACACTGCACATATTTGAGACCAGGAAGCCCAAAGTTAATCTAATTGACTTTTTCTTACACCTACATTCTTTTGGAAAACAGCTTTAAAAATTCTGAACTGAATTTATAGAGTTGAAGAGAAATGATTCATCAACTCATGATTTAAAATGAAGGCCTCCTCCACATGGTACAGGCATTACATAATTGATTCATTGTGCTCTTACCTTGGGACCAGCTACACCTGCAAAGTCACAATCATGCCATAAAAAGTTCCAAACCAGCTATAAAGTTTGACCTTAAAAACGTGGAATAACTTTATAGTTGGTTGCTATCTAACTTTAATTTGCACATGTAGCAGGGTCTCCCCTACAGCTGGGAGCCCCATCACCTGACAGAGCTCCCAGCCACAGAAGTGCCTGATACCCAGCTGGGGTTGGGAGTCTGACAACTGAGGGGATTGTTAGCCCCAGCAGCTGCCAACTCTGGGTCCCAGCACCACAGGGACCCAGAGTCCTGCAACTACAGATGTTGGGTGCTGGGATCCAGCTAGATCTCAGAAGCCAGGGAACACAGCATAGGAGGAAGTGTAATTTTGTGGATTGCACGTTAGATCTCATTACATCTGTAGCTGCATGTGTAGAGGGCCACAAAGTCAGTAGGATGATTCATTTTATAAGTGTGGCTAACATTTTTTAAATCACCTGTATATTGATCATTTGCACATAGAAATGAATTGCTTTTATAAAATTTCACAAATATAGAACCAAAGAGAAACAAGATTCCATTTACAGGCTGGTGTTTAGTGAAGTAATAAGGAATGGGCTAACTCTGAAATGTATTTACACTTCCTCTTATGAATATTCCTAGAAGGATTAAAACAATATTTGTTATTTTTTTCCAGGCCTATTAATTGAAAGTAGCAGTTGCTATTAATAATCAAAAAGGCAAAGCTTATGTGCAGGTAAGAGTAGTCATATTGAACCCTAATCTGACTATATAAGGGCTTATATACATGTGGTTTGTCTATATGGGTGACATGCAGTATAATTTACTTCAATCTGCTGTAGAATATTCTAGAAAAAAGATGAGAGGTAAAACTACATTCTAAGTTACAGCAGTATAAAAGTGAGTCCAGAGCTCTGCCAGGGTATTTGTTTGCTATAGGCAAATCTGCGCTTCTGCCTCTTAGTTGTGAGGTGCAATGATAGTGTCTACTGCCAGTGGATACCCTGCAATATCTGGTCATCGGTAAGCCCTGGTGTAAATCGCATCAGTGTAGATGTTTGTCTAGACCTTAGAAAGAGTGCAGAACCTGTGGCAGTGAAAAGGTTTTCTTTCCTGCCTCAAGGCCATTTTGAGGAATCATCTGTTGGAATAGGATGCTTTGTTCTACAAAAAGCATGTAAAGTTTGTAAAAATAACATCTAAATATACCATCATTGTGTAGTTACCCATGAAAAATGTATTAAAATGCAGTTGCTGGAAACATAACAGTAATGTACAAGACCCATGAAAGCTTCCCACAAATAGAAAGTTACAACTGACTACCTTATTTGCATTTTCCAAATGCACAGGGATTCATGGAAATAGTATAACTAAATGAACATGGATATGATAAGAACTGAAAATGTTAAAATCGTAAGTTGTAATTAATAACTAGATCAGCCTTGAATTCTAGCTACTTTCTGGCATTTGGTTGGAGTCCTCTGATTTACTTAAATGAAGTTAAAGAATAGAAAGGCATTAATAAGTCAGTTGTTACTTACATAATGCAGGAGAAACACATTTGTAAGATTTTAGTAGGTCACATTCTGTTCCATTTCCTTTAAAAGCAAAATAACAATTAATCAGGTAATCTATTCCTGTATTCAGCTATTTCATAAAAGTGAAAATTCTGCTCTTGGGGTACTAGTACAAGTAAAATGTAATAATTGAAATCTACAGACTTTTCCACATTTCACTGGTGCACCTGAGAGCACATATTGCCCAATATTGTATTATTACTAATACTACATGACTTAATATAATAAAGTACAGTTGAATAAATCTTGGAAAATAAGAGTAAAATACGTTAGTTGTGTCTCTACATCTGTTCTGTTTTCTGGGCACATACATACCCTGTTTTTTGTGGATCCTTTTTTAGGTACCTAGCTTCTTGTGAATTGAACTTGAGCTCCTAACTCAGGGTTGTAGGAGCTAGTTGCCTAAAAGTTGAGCAGTGAAGAATGCACATAATGGCAGAAAAGACATTTTATGGTTTTAGCTCAAAGTTCTTCTGGGGTCAAGTTTAAGATGACCAATTTCATGCACTCTGATATAGACTTGGATGTTCATTTGGGGTTCAGATGACAACATTAAGAAATGCTGACCAGATGGTTAGGGCTAAACAAATATTTTGAATATTTGACCACTGAAAGGTCAAAGTTTGACGAGAATAATTTAAAATTCTCAATTAAGTCTAGTTGTGCCAAGGACTTTCAGAGAATGATATAGCTTTCTAAGTGAAAGTAAAAGTTTGAAGTCCATCTTTGTTTGAAGATCCATGAATCACTTTGTACCACATGTGTAACGTTGTCCAAGAAGTACCTGGAAGCATGAATGGCAAACATCCACACCAGTCCTGTATGTAATGGGCCTTGCATTCCTGTACACATCCATAGGTGCTGTAGATATTGTGATACTGAAGTTTGATATTAGGATTGCACTCTCCCCAAGGGTATTCTTGGATAACTGTCTTGAATAGAAAATAGTAAAGTAGAATGCTTTAATACTATTTTAAATGCAAAGTTTGTTAATAAAACACTATGTTCAGTTTATACTAAAATATTAACTGAATTAAAGTTGAATTGCTATGAGTTAAATCTGAGGTTAATAACAAAATGTGTGTATGTTTAATATCTGTTCTCTTGGGTCTTGATTCTCTTGTACAACCTTACAATGTAGACAGCCCTACAGAATTGGATTTCAGTAGGGCTGTACAAAGAAACTAGGGGCCTTTCTACATGCCACATTTTTTGTCCTTTCTTGCAATGCAACTGCGTGACTGTTTGCATGAGTGGGTTTTCCACACATTTTAAAAGTTTTTCTGGTGCATTAAACTAAAAATCCTTGTAGTTGAGTTTGGCTCACCGGGAATGAAAGTGTTGCATCCATGGATTCATTGCATGCACACACAAAGGCACTCAAAGACGTGTAATGAGCCACTCTGTCCACCAAAAGGCGCTGTGACTTCTTTGTAGTTCACCCCTTTAAATTGCTTTTGTTTTCAAATTGCTTCCATTTTTTTTTTCTTGTGTGGTTTGCCATCTCCCTGCTTCCACAGCTGTGTGGTAGGGCACAGGCATGGGGTGGGTGGAGGACCCTGGACCGGGGGTGCAGTGCTGGACCATCCGCTCTCCTGCGGCGCTGACCGGGGATCGGGCTTAATTCATTTGAAAACCTAGTGCGTGCAAACACAGATGCGATGCTCCAAAGCTTAATTCATTTGAAAACCTAGTGCGTGCAAACACGGATGCGATGCTTCAAAAGTTTAAATTTTATAAACCTACTTAACTTACTGAGGATTAAAACCTATGGTGTGTACACAGGTAATTGATTTCACAGGTAATTGATTTCATGTTGCAGAAATCCCCTCTAGAGAGAGTTCTAGGGAAGTGTTTCTGAAACATTTCAGAAACTTGATATTCCAAGGTCAGATCCTATGTTCTGTGGCAAGGGAATGGTCCAGCTTTAGTTTTTGGTTATTTTGCCTCTGGATGAAGAAAGAACATAAATCATTTATCTGGTATGGGGCAGGGTGTATGTATGTGTGTGGGTGCATCTGTTTGTGCATGTATGTGCATACCAAGGACCAGAGAGCAGGGTGCCAAGAGCTTGCCTCTTTGTATGGGGGCTGCTGTGGCAGTGTAGGCTGCTGCTCCAGTAGTACAAAACTGCCTGAACACAGGCCACTGGTGTGGTGACATGGGCTCCCTGGGGCCTGCCATTTGGCACTTCCCCTTCCACACTCCCAATCATGAATCCTTCAGACTGGCATCCTTAGTTATGCTACTGCAATTTATACCCAATTATAAGGAAGGAATAAAGATTTACAGTGCATCAGCTAATCTATGGTGACTGTTTTGCATGTCTTCTATATATTGTGGTAGCTGGAAGCTACCTACTCTGGAATAAAAGAACTGCTTGAGTTGCCTTGGTTTGGCTTCCACTTATTGCCAGGTGGAATATATGCACAAAACAGCTCAGATGTGATAAGTTCCCTACGTTCTAATACAGTATGATTTGGACTCTGGAAAAAAAATTATTGTGCAAGTCATTGAAGCATAATTCATACCAAACTTTTAAAATGTCTGTTGTAATTTTTCAGAGTAAAAATGTACTTTAAATTTCAGAGAGAGACTGATACTTCATCACACAAATAGCTTACCTTTAGTTGGCGGATTGCAACGTGGGCATGCATGCCTACTGGTGTGGACAGGCCCAAGCCATCAAACCGTGGAGGTTCTTTAGGTGAATGGATAACGTAAATTATACCAGCATCAATAAAACCCAGGGAAGGGTCATCAGTGAAGAGTGCCTGATACAAAACAAATTCCTTAGAAAAGCAGTGTCACGACGTGGTATTTACATTATGACATTTAGCTTTATTTCAAGTCAAAAAAGCATTTTGCTTGAATTTAAACCTCATTTGGTGATGAGGTTTAAGCAGGTGACACATCTCCTCTGGCAATTAAAGAAAGGCAGAAAAACAAAGTAATTTCTATTTCCTTTGTTGCCTTAGGATCTAAATCTTGGAGGGTCAGTTAAAACAGGGAATAAAGTGGAGAACAACATCTTGAAGTTCAAATAGAGTTCTTTAGTTCAAAGACGACCATCACTTACTGATTTCATACAGTTACTGGTAAAAATAGCTTGGGAATTTACTGGGAAATATGGTGAATTTTCCATTCAAAATTTATTCAAATCAAGATTGGACATCTTTCTTAAAGATGTGATATCCTTCAGGCAGTAATTTTGGTCTTAACCCAGCAATTAATTGATGAAATTGTTGCCCATGTTATGCAGGACAGAATAATGCTTATAGTAGCCTTTTTCACCTTGAATATGTATTATATGAATATATAATGTAAGATTATTATCATATCTATACCTGTTTGATGTCAAAAATTAAACTTAGGCCTCTTCCAGAGACACTCACTCTTCTCTTTGCTGGAAGATCAATGTGGTTAAAAGTAAAGCAGTTTCCATACTCAGTGAAAACATGTTCGAAGTCCTATAACAATAAAAGTAGAAAACAAAAAGAAACCAGATAACCTCAATCTATTTTGGGGATTATGGAATGCTTTATGGCCTAGATTGCCTAAATTATCTGTTGATGTATATTTATGACTATAGTAGGTGAACACACAAATCACTGGTGGAATAGTCCTACAGAATTTAATCAAGAATGAAATCCTTTCTATGGAAACAAACATATGGAATTCACCAAAAGAAATAATTTAACTATCCACTAAATGATTTTGGTTGCTTAGAATAATTTTCTGTAAGGTCCTACTGTCTTCTTCCTTATTAAGTCCAGGACTTGAGGAAATTAGTGTTCACTTAGTAATATAATTTCGAGTAGGTGATACTTGTGAAGTAGTTTCTATCTGTTTCAAGGGAATGTATGAAGTTGTACTACCGTAGACCAGTATGGTGTACTACTTGCCCATTTGTTCAATGGTTTTAAGGGTGTATTGTCACCAAAAATTTAACAGTCATTGGACATATCTACATGAAATGTTTACTGTGGAATTGCCTAATTAGCTTTGCAGTAAACATCTCTGCATCTACAGGTGCAGCCCTATTAGACTGCAGGTAACTAATTAACCCTGCAGCAGGATAGTACTTGTAAATAAAAGTACTATCCTGCTGCAGAGTTTTTTTTTGTACATAGCAATGCACGTGTAGATGCTGATGCGCTTGGCTGAAGCATGAGGGTGCTTCAATATGGGGGTGTCTGCTGGCTAGACTCGCACTGAAGCACCCTTGTGCCCTAGCCAACCCCTCTGCAGCACTTTGAGCCAGGTTGGAACACCCTTGGTTTGGCAGGCTGACCTCCGGACCGTCTGCCAACAGGGCTTTTCCAACCTGGCTCAATGTGCTGCAGTTCTAGGCGCGTGTGAAGATTCAGCCCTTATTTTTAGAGAGTTTTTAATTCCACTGTTACCATTACAATAAAGTAAAAACTATTACCTCTGGGTAACATGGCTTTCCAAAAAAATCACATTCTAATAAAGTACTGTTGTTGAGAAAAAATCCATTATTCTTTGTAAACTCTTTAATGCTGAAGTTTTGGTTTCCATTCAAGAAATCATTTAGGTCCTGAGATAGTTTGTCATCCAGAGCAAATGCACGAAGAACTCCAGATACAATGCTCCAGAGAAAATAAATGATGTTGAGGTTGGCTACTGCTTGGATTTGGAACCTATAAGAAGGAAATATAATTTAGAAGTGTAGTTTTGAACTCTTTGGGCAACTATAGAGACAATCTGCAGGTAGAGCAAGATGCGCTTTTAGCAAATACACTTTTCGTTTTTATAAACACAGGTTTACTGTTGGCCTAGAAATGGGTACTTGAGTTAAAACAAGTGAAACCAAACTCTGCCCCTCTACTTCGTCCCACCTCTTTTTAAAACCACAGACTGGCCATCTGAAGCAACCACTAAGTATATCTGTTGGTAGAACTGACAGAAAGTTGTCAGTTGTCACAGGCAGATGTCAGGCTAGGAGGCATGATGGAAGGAACTGAACCAGAGAACCAGAGAATTCTAGTGCCATCACTTGGGCAGCCTGCCCCTTTGTCTATCTGCAGAAGTCTCTCAGCCAAAGGGGCTTACATAGCCGTGGGAACTGGAATTCAAACCATGTTGCTTATCCTTCCTCAGGAGCTCTGTGCCTGGTGATTGGTGGTAAAAGGTGGCATAAATCTAAGGTGAATCTAATGCCTATAAACACTTTGAAAATCTTCTAAAATGTGATTGGGATAAAGGTTTAACCGAAAATGCATTGTATATCACATGCTTTCATAAAATGGTAAAGGAACACCTAATAATGATGCAAATTGGGGATTTATTGAAGTGTTATGATGGATTTGAATTCAGTATGTTGAACAAAAACCAGTAAACTATTCCTATGTAATGTTGTCATGGAATTACCATTTTATGTCAATTTCTATATATCAAAATGTATCTTGGATGCCTAAAATATCAGAAGATCTGTATAAAGGTCCCCTTTTGCAATTCCACAATATTCTGTGACTACTTCTGTCCACATAGTTTTAACTATGCTTTTGAAAACAACCATGTGCATGGTTGGCTTTGTTTCTCAAAAAGAAATGCTTCTTACTAAAAACAGAAATATATAAATTGTCAGGAACAGATGGGTGTAGAAGCAAATTGTCATTTTATTGTGTCCAGCTGCCCCACACTGAATAGTTGAGTGTTGACTACCCATAACATTCTGCCGTTTTAGCTACAATAATGTATTGCCTATCATAGCCAAATAGACTTCTATTATTGGCAGTGTATATTCTGTCACAGAGGTTTTCCTTGCGGGAAGGACTAAGGACCAAGTATGTCCAACGGGTTGGGGGATCGCACCTGTGGCTCATTCTACTGGTGAGAGATGGAGAGATCAAAACATATCTTTCTTGATAGTAAAATGTGGGCAAACTACACAGATTTCAAGACAGTTGCTATACTAATGAGCTTGCAGGTTCATTACACTACTTTAATATTTTTCAGCTGAATCTGAGTTAAATATAAAAAATTATACACACACACACCTGTGTGTGTATGGAGATATATATATGGAGATATGGATATAAATTTCACTTTAAACAATTCTAAAAGGTTTATGTTCAGATTGGAATCCTCAGGGGAGAGTTATTTATACTTCCTAAAGAAAAGTATCTTGACATTCAGAAGTGTTGAATGAGTACCAATCTGTTGATGCCAATGGGAAAAGCAGGACCTCAGTAATTCTAAATAGAAGTAACCTGATTTTTAAGCTTCCAAATTCATATTTAGGTTCCTAAATTGAGCCTGTAAGGCTTGCAAATTTCAGTGCAGAAGTGTGTCTCTGAATTGACTGGAAAGGAATAACCAGATTGAGCACCCTTAAGCAAAATATATTGGTGGTTCTGTAGTTATACATGGTACTATATATCCTGCTGATCAAATAGTGTATTTTTTTCATATGGTATGACTGATACAGGCATCAGAGATCCTAAAGCAGTTATAATACATGTCTGTTATCTCTGCTGAAACGAAGCACAAACAAAAATCCGATCCTTAATTTTTTTCAGGTAAATATTTTACATAGACTCATTGAAGAGCTCCTTTAAGACCAAGCTCTCATTATCTTATTTACTATATTTACTTGTGTACTACACACACCTTTTTCTCAAAAATCAGTTCTCCCAAATTGGGGTACATGTCTTAAGCAGGGAGGCTGATTTTTCTTTGCTGGAATGGAAGTATGGAGAGAGAGTGCTGAAGGATGGCTGCCAGATTGTCTAAGGTAGCAAGGAGTGGTAAGTCCAATATTACTCTTTTCATAGCTGCTTTCAAATTGGCAACAGTTTTTGGCTGAGCTGCCAAATGAACAGCTGAAAACTCTTTCCAATTTGAGAGCTGCTATGAAAAGGTTAACATTGGATGCCATCCCTCCTGCTTGCCATCCTGGAAAGAAACTGGCAGCACTGTCTCTTCATGGAAAAGCCAGCTTCAGACCATGACTCTGGAAAAAATAATTTCTACATTCTGCTTTCCAAAAACAAGGTATGTATTTGATCTGGGGACATTATATGCAAGAAAAAAAATGGTATTTCTTTGATTTATATGCCTCCCTTCCCAGGAGAGGCTCAGGACTGCTTACAAGAGAACAGAATAACTTATAAAACAGAAAACAATGCTTATAGAAGAGGAGAAAACATAAAACAGAAGCCCACTAAACAATAACCCAGCCTAGTTTCCTTTGCTAAATGCTTGCCCATGTAGAAAGGTCTTACAGTGCTTCCAAAAGATGTCCAGGCTTGGGCTCTGGTGGGTTCCAAGAGGGAAGGTGTTCCAGAATTGAGTAATGACAATGAGAACATGTTACTCAGATTATTTTCTTCCAAAAGATTGTGCCTCTACTTGTATGATTAGATGATCAAGTTTTTTTCTCTCAGTGCAGTAAAATACTTAAAGTTTTGTTCAGGAGCTTCTGGTGTTTATTCATTTCCATTTAAAATCATGCAGCAAAATTCCTACCAAGCATGTTGAAAACTGACCATATGCAGTCAGTTTAGGATATGGACCAGAAGTGCAGCTGCCTGCTGTAACTGAGAACACATTGCAGGAAGTGGTCTGAGTTACAACGATCCCCCTGGACCAAACAGTAGTTCATTGTTGGTTCTGGGGGAGGGGGACTCTAGCTACTGGCTGGGAGCCTGCAGCTGGTTTCCTTCAGCAACAGCCCCTCCTCTCTCCTAGCCTGTCCCTCTTTCAGAATGGGAGGGGGGAAAGGGATGAGAAGGATCTCATTTTAGGGGTTCTCTAGCACTGGAGGGTGGGGTAGGTGATTTGGAGCCCCCCCCCCCCCCGGTGGGGGGGGGGGGGTTCCAATACACTCATTCCACCTTCCAGTAGGAGCTGAAAAGCCAGCCCCCAGACTGAACTCAAGGCTGGGAGGCAGGACAGACAAAAGTTATATATGTCACTATGTTTTGAAATGTCATCTGACCCCTCATGCAATGAGGGTTCAGATTTTCACCAGATCAACCATTTTTTAAACTGTCTGCAGCCATTAACTTGTTTGGTCATGGCTATAAACCACTTTCTGTGGCCAGATCTAGTGAAAATTGTCACCCTATTTGCACCCCTAATATTCCATCAATTTGAATAGATGTACTTCAGAATGACAATACTTTTTTAACAAGAGACATTTAAATCTATTATTCCATATTTATGATGCACTAAAAAGTGTTTTACCTGTTCAAGTTACAAAAAGTCACAGCAGGGAATTCAATATTTTCCACATACTGAACTACCACTGAAGTTGTGGTTGGCCAACTCAAATAATAGATGAAGCGATTGTAGACTTGCCAAGTGACGATGACAAGGGAGCCCATGACCACTAGCATCCATACCACCTTGCGCATCTTGCTCGGGGTTCGGACAATATTTTGCACCCCATGAAATGAAGTGGATGTAGCAAACTCATAGTTGTACTTCTTTTTTTCTTCCAAATATGGCAACATTTTCCTTTTTAAGTACAGGCTGGTCTTTTTCAATAATCCTTAATATTGGACAAAATGAAAGATTAGTGATATTGTTTTCTTGTGAACATTTTCAAATTTAATAATTTAAATGCTTCTTGTAACGTATGTTCCTCACGAAACCAAGTATGATGATCCTTTAGAGAGGATACCAGCTCGGATAATTTCTCTTGGCATAAAGAGTTCTCTCCTGCAGGTATTTTTTGACTGCTGAGAGAGCTGTGCACTAGCTTACTCAGAGCAGACAGAACTGTCTTAAAGGAAAAGATCCAAAGAAAGTGAGATCCCTATAAAGAGCAGAACCACAATAAACTTTATTCTTATAACAACATTACTATATCCCATTAAGATAAACCTTTAGTCTGGTTTGCTATGACAAAAGCTTGAATCTTGGGGCACCTAAATTATGAACCAAATCTGCAGGCCATTATGCATTTTCTAGGAGATGCTGAGCATCCAGTTTCAAGTAATTTTCTATTAACCATTCAGGACTAGGCCATTAGTCTTAAACATGAAAAAGAGCAGAGGGTTTTTTCCATAACTTCAGACTCGTTACTGAATGTTTCTGAACAAAACCCAGAAGGCTACAACCTCAAAGGTTTGATTCTAGGAGAATTATTGGGAATAGTCTGATTTCACATCTTTGGGTTTTTTTAATATCCAAAAATTATTTTTGTTAGACTTGAAATAATTTAAGAGTTACAGGATTTATATATATATACATACATAAATAAAGAATGAGAAATGTGGTAGCAATCAGTGAGCAATTCTTTGAGCTTTAGGAGTGGTGCCTTCTCTCACAAAACATCCAAAGGAGGTAATTTTAACTACAACCATGTAAAACCAAGTCCTAATTGGATAAGCAGTTTAATAGAATGTCTCTATTGGCAAGGGTGAAGTAGAGAGTAGGCTATCCTGCCACTCAAAATCCACAATAGTAGCAGTGCAAAGTAGCTTCACTTAGTACTCAGACTGAGAATTTGAGAATCAGTGATTTATCCACTTGGCACGTAAGGCTATTAAATGCCTCACTCCAAAATTGATTGTAATGAGAATTATGTTCATTACTCCTTACATCTAATATAGTCTCATAGGACACATCTACATGAGCTGCGTTAATGCTCATTAGGCTAATTTAATGTGCATTTTGGGCATACATCTACATGTGTGTGCCCTTAATGCATATTAAAAATGGCTAAATTAGGGTAATCATGCATTAATTTGATACCGGCAAATGCAGGTATCAAATTTAGGTCCAATTAGTTAAATCACATTACTGCACATGTAGACATGACCCAGCACTAACTTTAGTGGGGTGGGGTTTGCTACTGGGAAATCCGGTAGCACACAAACTGCACATGCCTGCATTTGAGGAGGCAGACTTCAGCTTACAAGTAGACAAGAATAAAGAGGAACAAGAAGGAGCTGTGGAGCCTTGCTTCTGCTAGCAACCGATGCTGGTCAATGGACCTGGCTAGTCGAAGTGTGCAAAGTGGGCCATATTCAATTCAGATTTGGATTTGGCCAGATTCAGGGGACAGTGAATCGATTTGTTGATTTGGTTCACTGTCCCGATTCAGTTCGGCCGAATCCGAATCTGAAGATTCAATGCTGATTTGGAGAATCAGTGATTTGGCCATACACACAGCTTTAAATGTTTTTTCTACATGCCTCAAAGTTCCAAGTGTGGCTCATGATCACTGAGATGGTAGGGCAGATGGAGCATCCCACTGGAGTGTGGGGAAGCTCCCCACGTGTTCGGCGGTGGACCTGAAAGTGGACCGGAAGTACTTCTGATCCATTTCCAGGTCTATCACTAAGCACATGGGAGCCCCAGCCCCCTGTACCCCTCCAGCTCAGTGATCAGCTGTGGGAGACCCCAGGTGCCCCCCCAGACTCAGGAGGCACCAGTCATCAAGCCGGAGGGTGGGGGTCCCCTGCGTGCTCCGCAGTGGACCCAGAAGTGAACCGGAAGTGCTTCTGGTCCATTTCTGGGTCCAGTGCCAAGCACACTGGGGACCCACCCACACTCCTATGGCATGCTCCATCCGCACCATCATCTCATTGTTCACGAGTTGCCTGGTACTTTGAAGTATGTAGAAAAAACATTTAAAGCTGTGTCTATGTCAGAATCATCGAATCTCTCTGAATTGATGCAGAGGGTTAAAGGGTCTCCTGATTCGATTCGGATTCAGAGATTTGGCGACCGAATTGGGCTGAATTTCTGCCAAATTGAATCAGCAACTGAAGCTTTGCACAGCCCTACTGGCTAGCACACTTGGGTTAATAAAATGCACCCTTTCACTGAGTGGAGTTAATTATTTTCTCACTTTAACCTGAAGAAAAGAATAAGGGGAGGATTGTGACCCAAAATAACTGGATATGGTAGAAACATGGCTGAAAATTCAAATTTGTCTTCACTCCAAATCAAGGCAATTCAACTAAATTTTTAAAAATTCCCATGAAATGGAAGTTCAAAAAAAAATCAGAAAACTTTAAAAATTCATTTTGGATTAAAATTGAATTTACTTTTTGCTTTTAATAATTTTTGTCATTATAGGTTCTTAGTTTTATTGTCCTTACTGGAACCATTCTTTTAGGATATTGAAGACAGCTGCACCTTTCATTTGTATGCTGAGAATGTTTCTGTTCTTGTTCAGTGTCATACTTACTGTTTCATTAAAAAATAAAGAAAATAAACCTTGTTTCTAGAAAATAGGATGTCATATCATTCTATGCCCAATTCTTAGTGGCAGGTCATGAAATCATGTAAAATATTTGAAATAACATTTCAAAGGAAGTTCATTTCAAACAAATTTCAAAAAAACAAGTTTCTTATGGTTCCATGATTTAAGCAGGAGGCTACAAAAATCTATGTGATTTAATTAAATATTTCAATGCTGTCAGAGCAGCATTTTCTGATGTAAAATCTTTGGAAAAACTTACGACCAGATATTGTTGCACTAACTCTTGGATCACCTTCTGGAATAGTTTGGCTGTGTTCCCATTTATTCAGGGATGCATACAAAAAACAGAACCTTTGCCATGGGTAAAGATTAAAAAATAATGGCCTGAACCTGAAAACAGTCCGATCTATGTGTCTCTTTGGCTTCTGATAAGCTTCTGAACTGTCTCTCAGAAATAAACTCTACATTTGCCTGATTTCCATTCCTCCCTCACTCTTTTTATTGGAGTCATGGTTAAAAATTCATCCACTCCAGTAGAAGCAGTTAGGCCAATGCTGAATACCTTTTGAAAATCCCACCATACATATTTATTCAGTTGCATTTTTTCCAAGGTTCTCTATTAGTTCTATTGAGTCCAACCTAAATCTTTTCCATAAGGAAGGATGAGGCTCTAGGAACCCATCCTCCTGTACTGATGTAGGGCAACTAGGCAAAATCCCTTAATGATGCTGAATATAATTTTGTAGAGAGATAGTCACATAGTACCCTAGATTTCACATTTCAGCAACAGACTTGAGTGGCATGTCTGGCTTACATGTATGCTGTTGTTGCTTGCAATGTTAGTTGGATCTGAAGTTTGTTTAGACTCTGAGGAGTAGTTGTTGTAACAGCATGTGCCTGCAGCTGCTTCCCACAAGGCAAAAAAAGTTATCTTGTCCTAGCTGGGTGAATGGAAGAGACTTTTCATACAGAGGTCATCCCTATCTCTGCTCCTATTTGCTGCTGTTTGGAGTAAGGGTTCTAGTTATCTCTGAGTCTTCTGACAGCATGCTCTTTATTTATCAAGCTACTTTATACAACAAAATATCATTTCATAGCTGTTATGCAAACATGTAACTAAACTTCAGTTCCAGCACTGCTCTGCAATATGCATATAGAATACTGCATGTGTGCCTGTGGATTTTTTTGGCAATAATAGCTGAAGCTACCAATTATCTTTAGACTGAAGGAGCAAGTTGTATCCCATCAGGTAAGTAAGGGCTGTTGGATTGGGCTCTTCAAGAAAATTTACTGGTATGGACTGACAATGATGTGCTGAACTGAAAAGATGAGGAGGGGTGGCTTACAGTCATCAGTTACTCCATTTTGACTATTACATGCGTCTGTTTTATGCCAACTAAATCATGCTATTTAGTAGTTTCATTCAGGGGTAAACTGCCTTGATTTAGCTTCCAAGTACTGTGTGGTAGACTGGACATAGAAATTATGCATTCCTTTAAATTTAAGCCAATATACTTTCTTGTTCCATACCCTCTATTACTTACAGATTTCTGAACAAATATATCCACTTCAGAAGACCCCAGTAATGTCTAAATAAATTAGAGCAAAGAGGTATGATTGCATATTTGCAAGGAAAACACTGTCCATTTGCAATGCATTGTCAGAGATTCTGGGTATATAATTTAGGAATGGCAGTGCATTTTAGGATTTGAGGCTTGTTGTGGAGGTTGTCATGATATTAAATAAAATAAAATAATGGAAAGACTAATACAGGACAAAATTAATAAGGAACTGAACCTCAGTAATATAGCTACTGCCAGTCAACATGGGCCTAAGCAAATATTTTTAACTTTATCCCTTTACAACATTACATGTTTGGATGATTAATTAGATTACATCAATACTATTACTCTTGCCTTCTGTAAGGTGTATGATTTGGTGTCTCACTATAGTTTGATTAAGAAATTTGTAGGATACAAATTTGTAGTACATAACATCAACATAACAGGCAAATGTAATTGTAAATGATGAAATTTTGCCAAATATATATGATTTAATGCCATCTCATAAAGATCGGTTCTTGACTCAACTTTGTTATACTTACGACTGTAAACTTTGGTTAAGTACAGGCAGTCAAAAGCCGGAGGCTGAATTGATTCAATCTTTGCAGGTTAGTCTAAACTGCGTAGATTGACCAGATAAGCAAGTGAACAGACATTCACTTCTGATTCCGAAAATGCAGCCACGTGCCTGCAGTGACTTAAGCCAGAACCTGGGGGGTGCTAGAGCATGCCTTCTAGACTGCCAAGGGGAAGGGAGGAGAGAAGCCCTCCAAGGCTTCCCACCTGCCTCCCAGCTTGAGTGGAGGGGGTGTGGCCAGGACCCAGCTTGTGGCCAGCATGCTGAGGCCACAGGAAAAGGGGCTTTAAACCCCACTCCCTGACCAACATGGGACTCCAGCCCAGGTCTGTCTGGGGTGGGGGAATGCCTACTAGCTTTTCCCCTGCTCCCTAGTCCTGTTCTAAACCACCATGCTGAGAGGGGGGCAGGGGGCTTTAAACCCCAACCCTGGCCTGCAGGGGACCCCAGCTGGGGTCTGTCTGGTGGGGGGTGGGGGCAGCCTATACCAAGCTTTTGCCTCCACCCCTTAAGTGGAGATCAGGGGACATGGCCATTACACGCCCTCCTTGGTCCTAGACCCCAGTTGGGGTTTGCTTGGGTGGGGGAGCAGCCCCTGCCAGGCTTTTTCCCTGCCTCGCTACTCACTCCAGTGGAGGAGGGTCACGGCCACATCCCATCCCAGGGCTTGCACGGTCAGGCTGGGAGGGAGGAAAGCTCAAGCATCTCTACCTCCCCGCCTCTGCATGCCAGCCCTGGGCTGGGGCATGTTTCCACTCTCTGCTCGAGTGAGGGAGAAAACCCTGGCAAGGGCTGCCCTCCCCCTCTCAACTGGGGAATGTGGGGCAGAAGCATGGCAGGGGCTGCTCCCCACCTTCCAAGGCAAGCCCTGGGTCTGTTCTGGAACCAGTGAAGGGGGGTTAACCCTCCCCACTACTATACGGGACCCCAGCCAGGGTCTGCCTGGCTTTTCCCCTGCTCCCCACTTGAAGAGCTGCTTCACCCCTGCCTACAGACCCTGGCTGGAGTCCCTTTTGGGCAGGGGAGGGACTTCAAATCCCTTTCCCTCACCTCCACCTCAACTTGCCAGCCTGGCCAGTGTCTGGTCACATCCCCCACCTCTCCACTTGAGCGGGGAGGAGGGGAAAGGAATGTGTGGGGCTGCTCTGCCCCTGCCAGGCAGACCCTGGCTAGTGTTTAGAGCCACGTTTCCCACTGCACCCCTTTCTCAGCCAGCTTGAGTAGTGATAATGCTCCAGCTAGGTAGCAGAGGGGTGGAGCCATCCCTGCTGCACCGGAACAGACAGCACAGCCCAGGGCTGCAAAGCATCCTGGGTTACTGGGAGGATTATGTGTTAACTTGAACCCAGAAGGGGTCTGGGGCAGAAGTTGTATAAACTGATTTGACCTAAATCAGTTCAGTCTGATACTGCATCCAACCAGGTTTATCTTAAAATGGTTTTGGCCATTTTGAAAGTAGCTTAAGTGCACTGAACTTTGGTTCTATTACAGTTTAAACCAGTCTCTAATCATTTAAACCAGTTTATGTGCAACTTCTGACCCTAGCCTTTGGGTCAAGGGCTTTCTCTTTTTTTTGTGTATGTGTAACATCAGGCACAAGAAGTCCTACTCTAGGCATTTCATTGATACACATAAGTATATAAAGTATTTTATCAGTCACATAAAAGAAAAAACAAAATCATTATTGATCAGTTAACTGTTGACACAGAGATTGAGGAGAAAAGTAATAAAGAAAAGAAGTCATTGATATAATCTGGATCATCTAGTAAACCAGGCACAATGAAAACAGAAGCCATGTTGATATGGCTAGCTATCAAGTCATCTAGGAAAAGTGAATCCAAACTATACTGACAGGATGGAGAAACCATGGTAGGTAATTAGTTGAACATGAGTTTCCCGGTCTGCTACTGTGGCTGAAAGGGTTAATATAATCTTTGGATGTATAAACAGGGGAATATTGTATAGGAAGAGGGAAGAAGTTTTTTATACAACTCCAAGTGGAATATTGTCTCTCTAATTTTGATGTTTATGCTGCCAGAAGCGTGCTAAAAAAATCGAGAAGAATGCAGAAGATCCACAGATTGTTTATCTTATTGGAAAACATGGCTGATAGAACTCAAACTGATCAATCTATTTAGTTTATCAAACAAAATCTTAAAAACTGATTTGATTAGTCTGCAATTACTTACATGGGGAATATACATTTGATAATAGAAAACTCTTTAATATAGCAGTGAAATAAGGTCTGATGGCTGGAATTTAAATTTAAACAAATTCAGATGAGAAACAAGGTTCAAATTTTAATGATGAAGGTAATTAACCATTATAACAGCTCATCAAATGTCACAGTGTCACAATGACTTTTTCATTAACATACATTTTAAACAAAGATTAAATGCTTTTCTAGAATGTATGTTTTATTTCAGTCAGAATTACTGGACTTAAGCAGGAATTAATTCAAGGAAGTTCTGTGGTCTGTGTTATGCATGAGATTATGTCACAATGCATCTCTTCTGGCCTTAGAAATCTATTCATTATTAAAGTCTATTTCATCACTCAAAAGAAAACAATTTAAAACAACATATGAAATAAAAGCAAGTTGTTCTCAGTATGTAAAAGAGCAATGGCTACAGGCAAACAATCCACTTGCACACATTAGGACTATAACTTTTACAATGCTTATTTTCTTTTCTCTTTCTTCACTACATAATTATTATTTGGAAATTTGCTCTGAAGTAAAGGAAAATTATTTTTCCTCTTTTGGGTGTAGAAATCCATTTTAAATTAGGTAAAACTACTAGGTAATGCATTATATTTATTATTACATACCTCCAACATCCAATCCACTACATTTCCCAAACGGGTTCATTTATGTTGTCCTTACTGGAGAAAGAAGGCACAAATACAAAGAGCTTCCTTTTTATTGTTGATCACTGTTCATTAATGACTTTTATAGAAAATTAAAGGGGTGGGGATATTAGTTGACACACAACACTGGGCAATCTACCTGCCTGTGTTGCTATACTTCACTTTCTGAATAACATGTTCTGGGAAGTAGAAGAAAAGATTAGTTTTATGGCAGGATCAGATATCTAAGTTCAGCTATCTATTATGAGACATGTACCAGTAGAAAGGAAATCATATGTGCTGTAGCACATTCTGGCATGCAAATGAATCTATTTTTAAAATAATGACAATTATGATTAAGACCAATTATTGTTCATTTGCAATGTTGCAGTAAAAATATTGTAGTCTTTAGGAACTGGGTAGTATTCCCATCAAGTGAGAACACTTTAGTGGTCCTTTCTCTGTGAATGGGTTCTACTAGGCCTAAACCAACAGGGCCCCAGGATTCCCTTGTATGCATACTGCTTTGTCGAAAAAAGTTGAGATTCAGTTTCCCTCGTGTGGAGGGCACGTGGGATTCTTGTGACACTTTCTATAATAATAAACTCACAAACCTAAAATCACACTAATAACAGCGGGTGAAATTATAGAAAGACATGGGAGTGGGCTTGGTAGGAAGGGGAAACAGAATTCTAAAAATCTGATTAAATAAAAATGCAGGCAAACTAAGTGTTTTTTGAGTCCTATAGGACATCTCTAGATTTGGTTTTATAGTTGCATCATTTCTCCCTATTAATGGGTAAGGAAAAATAATTAAAGAAATCCTAAGTATTGCTTATAGAAGTATAATATTTTATGGAAGTTAACATGCCTGTACTTAACTTTAGGGGTATGCATAGGATACTCTTAGGAGTAAGGGTAGGATTAATATCTTAATTCATGTTTAGGAAAGTATAGGACCCTGACTATGCCTCAACAATTTTTTTTTTTTTTGGTAACTACTTCACCCTCAGCCTGTCTACTCACAAATCAAGTTATAATGGCCACATTATGGAAGTTTCCATCATGACTGTTTCTGAAACATAATTAGTGTCTGCATCTGCCATGTTTCCTACTTGGGGTCATAACTGGGCAGCTATCCCATTGTTTTTCAGCAAGTGCACAGAGTTCCCAGAGGAGATGGACACAGCAGCATCAACAGTCTAACAAGCAACAAGTTTACACAAGAGGTTTATTGTGCAGTTGCCTAATAAAGTGTGCAGTAAACAAATCCTAACCTGCTGCAAAGTGTTTTTTTGTGCATAGCGTATGTGTGGATGCTGCCCCAGCTGGCTGGGGCCCAGGGTGCTTCAGCACTGGGCTAGCCAGCAGACAGCCCCCATGCTGCAGCACCCTTGTGTCTCATCCAACCCTTTCGCAGCATGTGACACCCCATCAGCACAGCTCTGGGCTGGCTGCTCTAACAGGGTTGCACATGCTGCGGAGTGGCTGACTGGTGCATGAGGATGCCTCAGTGCAGGGGCTGCTTGCTGGCTAGCCCCTTGTGCCTCAGCCAGCCCCTATGTAGCACGTGGAACACTACTGAACCAGCTCTGGGCAGCTCCAGCAGGCAGCGAGCAGGCTGCAAACAGCTGTACCAGGGTCTAGAGCCCCAGCACTGGCTCCAAGATGGCAGTGGGTGCACGTGTGCTTTGCAGTACACAGGGAAGAATCTGGGGCAGTACAACCCCAGTCCCTCCTCTTCCAGAGATGTGCATGCAGCTACTGCCAGCAATGAGAATCAGGCCCATCGCAGCTCAGCCTCTAGCATGCCAGGTCGAGGTGTGGGTGGAGGTTGTGGTGTTTTTAGTACTCCGGCCCAAAACGTTGCCAACCCTTGGTCTAGTGCTTCACAGTGAAATACTTGGTAATGCATCTGGCTTCTAAAGTGTATCATTTAAGATTAGACCTCTTGAACAGGGATTGGCAATGTTTCGCAGTGGGGGAAGGGGAAAGGGAGGAGGCAAGGGAACTGCAAATCCACCTGCAGGCTATGGGTTGCTGACCCCAGCTCTCCTGCTCTAGGAAATATTCCAGGGAATTAAGTCCTCTTTCCCATTCCACATTTGGATACCTATATAATGAGAGAAGGTAGCACATGAGACAAGGATTTTCTAAGGTGTGATAGCCATTATTTTATTTTTATATCTTATTTTAAATAACTTACAGTACTTTTTAGACTTCAGCTTTAAAAGGAGAGAGATGTCAGGAGTGTGTTTACCAAACTTATTATCATTCAATTTTGCCATGCCAGCTTTACAAAAGCTTTTCTCTCTCTCTACTTACTGCCTGGAAAGTCAACATGGCCACTTATAGACATGAAAACTCCCGCCCCCACCCCAGAACTTTACTTTCAGTTTGGTGCGCCCCCGCTCCGAGAAGAGTGCATACCCAGAAGAGGCATTGCGTTAGTTTGACCTGGCTTGCCCAACATCTGTATAAATCATGTGCTTCAGTGGGGCTTTTTGGTACATTTCTCTAATAGCTGACTAAATTAGCTATTAGATAAACGTACCAAAAAGCTCTGCTGTAGAGCTAAGTCAAACTAACGTGCTGCCTCTTCCAGTAAAGTGCTGTTTTGTTTTGTTTTTTCATGTCTGTCAGCAGCCAACTTGTTCTTTGAAGTAAACAATTAAGAAAACACCAGGGGGAGCAGCTTAACCATCTGCTATGACCAAACTGCACCTTCATACTATAGTAGAAACAGAGCGCTAATCGGTTTAATTTTTTTCTGCACTAAGCTGCTTTTAGCAAATACTTTGCAGGTTGAATTCTTGGTGTAGGTTTGACATATAGTTTGCATAAATGGTTTTCAGACGCTGAGTATCTCACCGCTGGATTTATCAATTCATTAACTGTGTTGTATACCTGTGCCTGATATGATGTTTTGAACAAATAATCATTACTTAAATTTTTTTGTGAAATTCTCAGGTTCTGTAGATGTGAAGTCAATCAAGAATGGACCAGGAATGAGCTTTCCTTGCTGGATTCCCACAAAGAACTACATTAGGGCTCACACCCTAGACAATGCTTAGGTCATAGACCACTGATCTGGCCTATAGCCCAGTTTAGCTACATCATAAGAAGTGAAGGTCAAGAGTCTGCAACATAAAAATAACCACATTATAAGATAAAATATTATAGATAATAATTACAATTCATTTTATTCAAAGTACCTCTGGCCTGGCCTTCCAACTCCCAGGACACTAAGCTCTCATTGATAAGTTATGGATCAGCTATAAGGGTATCACTGACTGTACAGCAAGGTTGGAAAATGGGTAAAAAGTATATTTTGTGCATTTGTTTGGAATTGGGCAAAACATTCAGAGTTTTGAAAATCTTTGGCAAAAACAAGGTGTTCCCCCCACCTTTTGTTCGTGAAATGATTCCAAAATGTCAGCTGTTTGGGCAATATGTCAATTTGAGGAACACCCTGGTTACAGTTGTATGTGATATCTTTGTTTTGCCATAACATAGATGCAGTAATATCTTGTAGAAGCACTAATGGATTGCCAAGAAGCAAATATGTATCCATATTTGATGTGCATCTCAGAATTTCTGTGCTTTCTATTTCAGAAGAAAACATATATAGCCTTAAGTTTGTGGGCCTTAGTATAATGAAATAACACTTTTCACATCTATAACATGCTTTATCTAGGTAACTCAAAGCATTTTATAAATGTTAATGAATTGCAAAGTTTATCTTAGGTTTATTTTCAATGAAACCTGTTCAATTATTTATCTCTCACTTCACATATGAGGAGAATATTGCATGGAGAAACATTTACTTATCTAAGGTGGTATCAATTCAGAGGCAGATCTAGGAATGGAACGCTAAATGTTTGATTCCTACAACACCCATAGAAGATGCAAGTCAGGAAGGGAAATTGGTGAATTTAAATAATAGTGCGTGACCAAATCTGGCTATAGAAAACTGAACTTTTGACAACAAAAATGAGGATATGGAAAGTTAAGAGTAAGATTTGATTTTTGGTGGGGCAGTAATATGGATACATTTTGCGTATTTAAGTCTGCGCAGGTGATAAGGTTGGAAACAGACGTTGCCCAACCCCTCATTTGTACCAATATAAATTTTTTTATGCTGGCATAAATGGTGAGCAAATAGACATCCCTACCCTCTGTTGTACCACATGAGAAGAAACTCAGTGGCACAGTAACAAGTAGTCATAGATTCTGCCACTTATTTATTGTGGCAGATGTCTATTAGCTCTGTGGTGGGAGAGTATGGGCAGCCTGAGCTGTTAGCTTTCTCCAGCCACCAAAGGCAGGTGCTCTGGGAATATGAGTATCCCTTAAGCCTCCAGAGCATCCACCTAGCTTTCCCCCATTATAGAGAGGAAGCCTGAGTAATCTTAGGTTGCCTCTCCGTATGCAGGGAAGTCAGGATTCCCCACTCACTCAGGCCCAGGAGCAAGTTTGGGGTGGATGGAGAACTCCTCTGCTTGTAGACACACCCCCCATATTGAGAAGCAGGGGAATCTCCTACATTGACTCACATCTGCAAGCATGAAATGAAACTCCCATGAGAGTTCCCCATCTGTGCTTGCAGGAAATTTCAGTTGGAGTTCCCAGGGGGATTGTACTTGCAGACACATGCCTCATGTCATGGCACAGATACATGCACTTAAGGAAGTTTCCCCCCTCTCCACTTGCTTCTCAACATGGTGGGGGGAGGGGTCAGGAATGCACTTCCCAGCAGGGGGTTTTCCTCATTTGCAGACACCTCAAGTTAGGGCACGGCACCCAGTAATGTCTGCAGATGTATCATGGTGCATCTGATTGCACTCTACAGAAGACATGTGTTTCCAGAGTAAAGGATTAGCAAAGAGAAAGAGGACTGTGATTAGAGAAAAACCATCAGAGTTTATGTTTTGAGTCAGTCCCTTACTTCCCCCGGCCAGATGTGGTAATTGAACTATAAAGTAAACAGCAACATGCATTCAGCCATGTGCCAAGGGATAG